AAGTAACTAAGTAATTAATTACTTTTGAAAATAAGTAATCAGTAAAGTAACGGGATTACTTTTTGGGGGAAGTAATCAGTAATTAGTTACTGGTTACTTTTTTCACGTAACTTTACCAACACTGGTGACTATAAACAGGTAAAACAGTGTCGATGCCGAAGCTGCTACGCTGCAGCCAGCAGCGGTCCACACCTCTCCGGGCAGGGGTCCATGTTGCACTCTTTGAGCTTTGGAGTGGGTTTGGTGTTTTCAGGGTAGCTGTCACAGTGGTGCTCGGGCAGCGTCTGGTTGGACCGGATGTCTGTGCACTCGGCAGAGTTCAGCTGGTAGCCTGAGGGAGGGAAGCGACCACGCTGTTACCGCTCTTACACTCTAAAAGTGAATCTAAAAGCATTTTTAATCACGACGACGGTCAGCTCACCTCCTCCGCATGTGACCGAGCAGGGGAAGAAGTCCGTCTCTCTCCACTGGTATCGAATTGGTTTGTAGAACAGAAACTGGACAACGGTGTCCTTGAAGCCTCCGTACTTTATCTGCACAGCACAACAGAAGAGGGTGGACACAGCGGGCAGAGGGGAGAAGGACAAAGTCAAGCTCTGCATGGTTTATCAAACCAAATCTACGCAGTAATTCACCCGTTTTTAAGCATTTAGTCCTAAAAAGATGAACCTGCAAAAATGCAAAAAGATTTAAGGCTTTTGAAATTCCCATCATAAAGTGAAGGATTTGATCCTTACAGCTTTCAAACTGTTGCTTTGGTAAGACGAGCACTTTCCAGCAGCCCTCCTTTTTTAATATAGAAGGCGTTTGAGTCATTCATCACACACTCTGCAGCTCTGGATTAGATTTAGCTTTGTGCACTGAAAGTATCGTCTGCACACCGAGCTTTCAGACAGATGGTAATGTGTCATATTTGTCACCAAAGTAATTGCAATTACAGAGCGTAACTGATAGCAAACCCGCTGCTGCTGGGCACCAGTGGGCACAAAGACGAGGAAACAAAAGAGCGGAAGACAAGACTGAATAAGTTTCTGACTGAGCCGAATTAATAAAACAATGCAACACTTTAATCTGCAAAATTCTGCCCTCCAGCCTGCATGAAATAACCATAATCTGCAGCTTGTGCCCACATCGGCGGGCAGAGATACTTCTACCTGAGTAACCGGGTCCAGGCGGGTGAGGATCAGCAGCAGACGGACGGTGGTCAGCGCTGTGATCCCAAAACGAACCGGACAAATCATCCACACAGCAGAGAGGCCACTTTTGTTTCTCTGACGGGATACGATGGAGAAACTGCGTCTGCTCCATTAAACTGTCGTTTATTTCCTGAACAGTGATGACAGCGGCTCCATGTTAAAGGAGTTTCTCTGCTGTCTGTGTCACTCAGGCAGCTCAGAGCAGCCTTTGGTTGGATGGACTTTCTAGAAACCATCATATTGATTGATGATGGTTTAGCTTTTTTAATTAATCTGCATCTGGAAACTCTGACTTGGAGATTTGAGCTACAAATCACGTCACGATCGACCGTCTGCGATGTCTAAAAACTTTATGGTGCAAAGTTTAAACATATTCAGCGAGTGAAATTAATATTTCTATTGAATAAGACGACCTACTAATACTTGTGGTACAACTTTTCATATGAAAATAGCATTTTCTTCATTTGTGTGACTAAAAATTTCACATTAAAAGGTTTTGAATATGATTTCTTTTACATTATTGTGAAATTCAACTATGTACAGTTCAGAAACTGTCTTTTGCGAGGTTTTTATGTTTTTACTTTTTCATTAGTCCAAACTTTGGACCATACAGTTTTTACACGATGGGCAGACGATGAGCAGGAGCGCACATCGATCGAGTTGTTCTGCATCTCCAAGCTTTAACGTCTTCAGACCCACACAGACTTTTCCACAGATGTTTAGAGAAGAAGCGAATAATAATTTTGGATTCAGCCGACTGTCGACGGCCCACTAAGAGCTCGTCTTTTCTATGAGTGGAAAAAAAGGAGGGCTGTGATGCTGGTAGTACAAAGTGGAAAATGCATTTCCACTTAGGCCTCATTGACAGAAATTCTAATAGTGCCGCGGGCAACAAGCTCTCCGTCTCATTAAAACAATGCCTCAAAAGCCGAATATTCCTCAGCAGCTTGTTTTATTTACGTTTGTGCTCTTGTATCTGTGATAAAATATGTGCGTGAGGAGCTCAAAGTCCTCAGGCTGTGCGCTATGAAGATAGCTTCACCTTGATGATGTAATCAGCGCCGAGTGGGCCGTGCGTCCTGAGTGTCTGCCGGTCGTTCCCCCTCTGAAAGTCCAAGGAGGTGTTTCCTATCACGTAGGAGCCCGTCGACTGCAGACCGGTCTCCTCCTTCCTCCCCTGGAGAGACACGGCTTCAATAACTGGCAGAGAGACAGAGCAGGAGGGGGCGTTATTAAAGCACACGCAGGATTAAATTCATGCTTTAAAAATGCAAATGTCTGAAATGTGACGCACAAACCCGACAAGACTGGGCGTGAAATGTGTTGTTTACTTCCACCGAGAGGAAACAAGTTCTTATCTAATACTGGAGATAAAAACTAGAGATCTGCGTGACTCACCTCTTAGCTTACAACGCAGGGAAGACGAGTTTTTGGGAAGCGTTACAATCAGAGACATTACGTTACAATTATGGGAAACCAGGTAACAAAGACACAACAACCAAATCTGTAACAGCTGTGGGGTCTTCTTTAGGATTTTAAAACAGTACTGCACTGCTGATTTCACAAAGGTACTCAATCCAATTTTATTTATATAGCACTTAATCACAACAACAGTCGCCTCAAGGTGCTTTATATTGCACAGTAGTACAATAATAGATGCAGAGAAAAACCCAACAATCATATGACCCCCTATGAGCAGCACTTTGGCGACAGTGGGAAGGAAAAACTCCCTTTTAACAGGAAGAAACCTCCAGCAGAACCAGGCTCAGGGAGGGGCGGGGCCATCTGCTGTGATTGGTTGGGGTGAGAGAAGGAAGACAGGATAGAATAAAAGTATTAAGTTCAGAGTACTCCAAAAATGGTGAGTGATGTTAAAGTCCCACATTTTTGGTATCCCCCTTTTTCAAAAGCAAAAAGATACAGTAGAAAACATAGACTTTGCATCAGTAGAAGGTATATTAAGCTAAGCTAAGCTAAGCTAAGATAAGATTTTATTGATCCCACAACAGGGAAATTTTTCGGTCACCTCAGCTCAGGTACAGATATAGAAGGAAATACAAAAATACAAATAAGTACAATCAGTGAAAAAAAGTAAGATAATACACTATATACAATGGAAGCACACACAGTATGTGATTATGGATATGGTTGGAAATATGGAAGACATAAACTATATAGCTTGACATAACTATACAGACATATATACCTGCATATGTCCATACACATGGACACGCACATATTAAGATCCAATATTAAGCCCTGTGTTCTGTCAAGTGTGATAAAATAAAGTTTTCCTCTCAGAGCTGCTCTGGTTCTGTCCGCAGGTACAGGTCTGAGTAAATGAGTAAAAATCAGTAGTAATATGAAGTACGCAGGCCTGTTACATTAAAGCACAGAGTTCTCACAAGAGATCCAAGGCTGTCTCCAAAAGGTGCAAACCACCTGTAATCACTCAGAGTTTCCTGTAGCCTCCTCACAGCCGCGTCATCCAGCTCCTCCTTGCACTCTCGAAGGCCAGGAAAGAAGAAGCAATTCCACTGGTGTGTTTTAGGGTCTATCCATGGCGGATGCATCCAAAGGACCTCCAAAGAGAGCCGTATTCAGACTCCAGCAGTGTCTTCATATGATGGGCAAGAAGAGCAGCTCTGCTCCTTCTGACTGTTGAACTGAGTCCAGCCTTAAATAGAATTAGTTTGCCATTTGTGTGACTTTTGGTTGCTATCCACAGCTCATTAACCCGTTTAAACCGATGGGAGTGCCACCATAGCTTGCCCATATTAGGAAATTCCTGCTGTATTTGGTTTATTGTTGGCTGGCTTGTGGAATTGCTATGGGTTTGTCACTCTGGCAACCAGGAACAGACCACCCAAATCCCCACGTGGCTTTTGGATGAATATGTCGGCTGTTGGCCACGCCCCTTTTGTTATCTGGGACAGAAACTGTGCAAGAAAAGAAAAAGTGTAATCCTAAAGCCAACACGTGGGCCCAACCAGATACATATTCATTAATTCATTAAGTCAATGAGTTAATGAGCACAGCTGTACCTGAACCCGGCACACACTGAGTGTAGCTGCACAGCTTCTCTGTAAAAGGACTGGATGCCTCTGTCGGTGCACTCCTGTAGCTGATTGTGCATCATCACTCAGAAGGATTCAGCGCCTTAAAAGCCAATTTGCAGGAATAAAAGCCTCGAGCAACTTCACTCTACCTGAAATTGTACAGTGAGCGGTGGGAAGGTGGCTCGCTTTCCGGCTGCTCAGGCTAAATTACACAGTCCACCTCTATTCGCCTGCTGGCGCTTGTTGCCTCAGCGGTTGCCTCTTGGAACAAAATCTACTGGCAGATATATGGGCCGGTAATCTTTTCCTGAGTGTTTTCAGAGAGTGTGTTTGTAAGTACACTCTAGTTTTTATGTACTCCCAATAGCTTCCAGTAAGCTTAGAAAGCAACTCTCCATCCGCTGCCAGGACGCTGATGAGTTTCATAGCTTCTTCCTTTGCTGGAAAACCACGACCTGCGCCTCTGGCTTCGGGGCCGTGGATCATTCTGGCCTGTGCTGTCAGAATGAAACCGTTTGAACTCCGCGAAGTCTGAATTCAACAAACAGCAGATCGTTTGTGCTTTTCTGTAAGACTTGGTTCTCACAAAAGGTTGGTGCAAATCCAATTAATCTGTCAGTCTAAGACAAAGCATCACCATTTTTCATGTTGCAATTATATTTAACCTCTTAACATTCAGCAGGGTCGCACGTCTTTGGGCTTTCCTGTTCCAACCAGCTAAAACTTAACATTTACCCAAACCCTGCCTCTAACCTGGACCCCGGATGGATTGCTGGTGATCTGGTGGAGGTTAAGTCTGACTTTATTTTTTTTTAAAAAGATCTTAATTATGTTACATGAAAAAATGAAAAATTCGGGAGAGGAAATCGTGGAGTCTTTGGCCCATTATGAAAATAAGTTGTTCATCTTTTTAAAGTTACCTGGTGTTAAACTCTGTGTTTGATATTATGCTTAGTTAGCTGAACTGTAAATGAGTGTGTTGGACCTGTTTTCTGCTGTCTCTCCTCTAAAATGAGCTCTTGGTAACAGATGAACAACCTGCCAAAGAAATTCTGGGTTACTCCTCGAATCAGGAGCCTCTGACACAGCCAGAACATCTTGGAGCTGTTTTAGGATCAGGTTTGTGCTGACGTATCTGCATTGGCCCTTCACTTTTCTCAATCGACAATAAAATAGAGCAGAAAACCCAAATGATGCAACGAAGCAGTCAGCAGCTCTGAGGATGGGAATCGCAGGGTTTCGGCTGTGCAGGGAAGTTTTTTCTTCACATCTCTGGTTTGTTTTATACCAAGGTGAGCCCAGGTCTGGACTTGGAGCTGAAAGCATGATTTACTGTCCAAACTATCACCACTATTTATCAGGGGACACTGTGGAAACCAACACATCAACACAACGTGGCATGTGGGGAATCTCAGATCAGCTGCTGCTCCTGCTGACCGACTCTGATTTACATAAAACTTTAGGGTCCAAAGTTTGGACCAATAGAAGGATTGCTGTGCAATTTTAACTGCACCCTGCCTCTCACCCTAAGACAGCTGGGATCGGCTTCACCACCCCCACAAACACAACACTGTGACAAGGATGAGAAGAACAGATGGATGCTGGCTAAAAGCTGTCAAAATGACAGATCCTGATTTGTTTAGATGATATGAAAGACGAGTAAACGTGTCCAGCTTTTATCTTTAATAGTTTTTCAGATGTTTTTGTTTTCTCAAATTCGGTCACTGAACCATTTTTCTAAAATTTCACGGCAGTCATTTTTGTTACGCAAACTTCAAAAGCATAAAAGTTTAAAACTAAAAACTAGCAAATCTGAGACGGTGGAGGAAATGTTGTAAAAATGAGCTGGTTTTAGATGGAGTGACTCATTTGTCTCAACACAACATTTGTAAAAAGTGCTGCATGTAGCAATAAACACAGATTTGATTGACTGATCATTCTTCATATTCAGTCCACAGACCAGCACGAGACAAATAATCCTCTCACCATAAATGTGTTCCTTACAGAGAAACTGAATTCACTTGAAATCGTCTGTAACATTATTATGTTAAGTTCTTAAGAGATCAAAGCGTGAATGTGCGAGTTTCATAGGACACACTGTCAAACTCTGAGCATCAGCTTTGCTTTGTTCAGCTTTTGGAACAAAGTAGACTCACCGATCATATCGGGACCTTTGGCGTTGAGTCTGAGAAAGCGACTTCCCATCGGGACCTCCAGCACCGTCTTCAGAGCTGCAGGTGGAAAAAAGATCAGAAAGGTTTCGGTTAAACTGACAACACAACAGCAGTCACTGAGCAGAGAGGCGGACACATCCAAACACCTGTCTTTGTCTGCCTTCTCATGTTTTGGGTTTTATGTTTTTTACCATAAAAGTAGTCCAGCTTTTGCAAGCCAAGCGAATCATTCATTTATGAAATTCCAGTGTTGCAAGAACAATATGCATAATGCTTACCGTTTATTAAAGAACAGT